CTTCTGAACCCTGTTCACCTGCACTCACCCTCTCTTCCAAGGCAACCAGCAAGCAAAACAAAAAAGCACCATTAAACAGCAAAACCACTACAAGATGTCACAACCTTGTTCTTGGCCAAGAAGACTCCGGATCATCAATAATGTGTTTAATGGGTTGTCAATCCAGGGAAAATACAGTAGATCCTTTCCTGAGATCTTATATAATACAATATAACAATACTACTATATATAGATATATAAAGCATGGGTAATTGATATAGGTTTCTCTAGTTCTTCTTCAAAACTGAAAGCTTCGCAAAGCCATCAAGTCCTTTAGCAATCCTTGATGTGAAGATTGTCCCCAAATAAATTTTCAATGAAGGTAGACCAGGAAGGCACCCGACCAGGAAGGCCCTGAGGCTGCATAGCAAAAGGATTGCTGAGAATAACCACTAAGAACCGGAGAAAGGAACATTAATACAACCTATGAAAGACACATGAATACAACCTATGAAAGAAACATGAATACAACAATCAATTGCAAAAGGAATCCTCCCAGGAATCCAGATTTTTGGATGGCCCAGCATTTGTTTAGGAGCGGGGGACGCCCCTTTGCCAATCAAGATCCAAGATTGCTGGGGCCTCTCAGACTCCGGGCCTTCGCTTGTGGTCCTTCAGAAGGGTCCCGTGTTAGTTCTCATCATCAAATTCTGAACTGAGACCGTAATACAGGACTAGGGTTCATTTCATAAATTGCGAAACATCAAAGAAGTGGGAAAGCTGGTGAAAGCATCAGCATCATGCTGCCCGTACTTGCGCGATCTTACGCGAGCAGGTCTTTTGTTGAAGTCTCAAGCTATCCAAGCTTCCAAGAGCGGGTTCAATTCGGAATTCATCGGTCTACACTCGGCACCATGTCTCGGTCCAAGGAGCAACACCATACACATAAAGCGAGTGGGCCGTAGTTTCCCAATAGTTTTAGAATGAGCCGATAAGAACACATTATAAGTATTAGTATAGTACATCATTACTGATGATTTGCTTTGGAGCAACATGAAACAACAAAGAATCATGTCTTGAGATGAGCAAAAACATGCGTCGACCTTTGAATACTTGCAGCGTCCGGAGTCCGTTCCACAACGGAGCAGGGCTGCCCGCTGATCCGTCGACGGTTCATCCAGATCGGCGCAAACAGGCAGTGGGGAGGCTGGCGGAGTGTGGAAAAACGGCCTGCCTGGACTGGGGGAGACAATGGGGAGTGGCCATGGATGACGATTGGTTTCTTGAGTGGTCAATCCGAGAGAAACAATTTGATGCTCGAATGCTCGAAGTCAAGAGTGCCTGGCGGCATACTGCAACTTCGATGCGGCGCATACTTCGACGAGCTGCTTGTTTGGCTTGTTTGTACCATACGAAGACGTTGTTTTTTTTTTCACGGAAGCAAGGCCATTGGGTGGTCTCCACGCCTCCAACATCCTCCAACCATTTTGTTGCCTGAGGCTTTGTCTCAAAGGAACAGAGGCAGGCTCCGTGCTAAACCTGAGACAGTCGAGCAAAATATGGAACCTGACTTTTTTTTTCTCATCCAGACAGGTGCTGACTTGGGGCCTTTGGTGTACTTGGGGCCTTTGCTGTTGAAATTAAGCATGACGAATCCACCAGCCTGCATTTCACTTTAAGCTTCCTGAGTGTTTGCAAATAAGTAACACATTTCGATTGACATGTGGTGTATTGCAAGAGCCCCTGCATTTCTCAGTGCGATGTGCTACCACCCAAGAACAGATAGTCAGGCCGGGAATGTGCTTCCAACATTTGTTTGTCCAGGGGCCATGCGTCTTCGTCATGAACACTCAATTGAGTATCTTGTCCACAATGAAGGTGAAGCTGCTTGAGATGCTGAAGGGATCGCAGTCTGTTGTGACTGTAGTGCTCTTAGTATTCATCCATTTGGCTGACGATAGGTTCTATCGTTTTTTTTTCATTCAACCCATGCCGTCTTGTTTATCCGCATGGGATGGCCACTAATAGTTTCTGCAACATCTATGATATCTATATAATTTAAGCAGACATCCTGGTGGACAGGCCTAAGATCTCAAGCCAGTGTAGGTTAGTCTATGGTTGGAGACCAAGACGGAACTGAATCAGGCTGTACGATAACTCGTTTTTAGTATGTTTGTCAAACACTTGCCAACGGATCTGCAAGAGCAGATCATGATTTGCCAATTCATGATTTTCTGGGTTGATATATACCTTCAGTTCAACCACATTTACGGACCTTTATAAAGATAGATGACAGCATGCGTACTAGTTGGACTTTTGCGTTCAAGAATAATGAGGTAATAGTGGTTAGTAAGCATTCTAAAGACAAACTATTGCGTACTTTGGCCAAGGTCACTGGGACTGGGACCATTTTCTACTAGGACAAGAAGATTTGGATGTGCGAATTGGTTGACTAAATACCTAGGCAACCATGAGATTGATATAGATTGATATTATGGCATGCATATACACATTGATTCATGAACATTGACCGGGTGACCAGACAAACCCTCCTGTGTCCACTTAAAAGCCACAGAATGAACAGCTCGACCCCACAAACCGAGGTGGTTCGAGGATCGAGGATGGGAAGATCGAAGCGCTTTGCTCGACATGAGTCGAGTCTGCGCAAGACCGGAATAGAGACTAAGACTGGAATAGAGAGCAGAACTCTGAACAGGATTCTGACTGAGCATGAAGGTCCCAAACTCAGATTCGCACATGATTGGAAACCAACTCTGGCAGAGAGAGAGAGAGAGGAGAGTAGTCGCTCTACCCCAAACACTGTTGAACATATAGATTCTAGCAATGAATATATCTGAAAGGCGAGCGGGATGTGCTCGCACAGCTCGCGTCTGAAAAAGCATCGAATGGCCAGCTCCTCAAAACAAACGGCCAGAGCAAGCAATATACGTTGGTACTCGTACTATTGTATCAGATTTGTTTAGAATCCAAGCATTAATTAAACCACAATCGCACTGATGGATCATTTGTCACCAATCGTGGATCGGACACCTTCCGTGATGCAGGACGAACGATTCTTGTCCGAACTGGCCGATGAGAGGAGCCCACGATCTGTGGTGGGACCATTGTGGTCCGAAGTGGGTTTAAATAATGCAGCGTCCAGAGTAGTGAAGTCGTTTTTTTCTTCCTTTTCATTGTTTCCAGTAGCGATGGCCTCCAACCTACTAGCGATGGCCTCTAACCTACTGGCGATGGCTCCAACCTACTAGCGATGGCCTCCAACCTACTAGCCATGGCCTCCACCCTAGTCGGGATGGCCTCCAACCTCACAGCGATGGCCTCCAACCTACTACTACCAGCGATGGCCTTCACCCTACTAGCGATGGCCTGATGGCCTCCACCCTAGTAGAAATGGCCTCCAACCTACTAACGATGGCTCCAACCTAGTAGCGATGGCCTCGAACCTACTGGCGATGGCCTCCACCCTAGTAGCGATGGCCTCCACCCTAGTAGCGATGGCCTCTAACCTAGTAGCGATGGTCTCCAACCTATAGTAGCGATGGCCCCAACCTAGCAGCGATGGCCTCCATCCTAGTAGCGATGGCCTCCAACTAGCGATGGCCTTCACCCTAGTAGTGATGGCCTCCAACCTACTAGCGATGGCCTTCACCCTAGTAGTGATGGCGTCCACCCTAGTAGGGATGGCCTGAGACCTAACAGCGATGGCCTCCAACCTACTAGCGATGGCGTCCAGAGTAGTGAATATATATATATATGTATTCATAATAATCTATATATCAGTTCTTGATGCTGGAGTTGCTTCCTAGATGTTGAGCTTTGGTGTGATAGTCGAAAGTGTGCCGAGAAGACTTGAACCTCGCAGTCTTCGGTACTGAGTGACTTGTGTGAGGCTGCATGACCTTGTTGTTTACTGACTTGTGTAGCTGAATCAAGCCAGTGGAACAAGTGTGTTGAAGTATATTTGATGAGATTTGCACTCTACCCGCAAAAGCCCACAACCAACATTTTACTGTATACTGCGATACTGCATATCTCATATCTCTAGATGGTAGAAACATTATGACAGGGCAACGGGGTTGGCCTACGAATCGCTTGCTTTGTTAACATTACACACAGAACTGCAACAGGCAGCATAGGCACGGCTGTGATTGGTGTCATTTCGCCCACGGATGAGCCAAATGGTCCGACTTGGCCAATTGCTCCATTTGCTCCTGGTCTCTCGGGTGGCTCGGCGACTTCTCAAGCACCAGTGCTGTCACTTCATCCCAATTGGGGTGTTCACAAGGGTACAAACCAAAAGCTGACCTTGTGTCAGATGGCGGCATGACAATGTGTAGAAATTCCTCAGATGAGAGCCGAGTGAGCTAGTCCCATTGGCAATCAATCATATCCAGTCAGGCCTCTCGTGCAAAAGACACTCAAAGAAGAATGGTGAGAGGAGCTAAGAGGTCAGAGGATATTGCAGGCCACACCTATTGTACATTGTATGCCAAACCAAACCGTTTACCTATTTGCGTGTGCCAACACCTACCGACACCTGCCAGTTCTTGATGATGCTGCCAGTGGTTTAACCATCGATAACTATGTGATACTATATGTGTATTCGTACCGTTCAACTGTTGAAGTGCCCCAAACTCCTCGGCTGGTTCTTGGCTCCTTGAGATTTCGCTCTGCGAGTGGTGTGCAAAACACCGGGCGAAAAGCGGTGTGCCACGACCGCTCCAGTCGACTGGGGGACACCGGGCGGACACTCCACGAGAATGGAACCCCAACCCACTTCCCAATCAGTGTAGGCAGGACACATGCCCATATTTTGCTACGGACAAATCAACATGAATGACCCTTGAGTATAGAAACTGGAAGCGCGCTTTGTAGTTGAGACCTGCCACGCATTGCGATGGATTTTCATGGTGGGCTATGGCGGGTGAATATTGGTCAAGTATGGTCAAGCTGAATGGGTGCAATACTTCTGAGAAACCCTCCTTCCGGTTCATCCAGCGATGGAAGTGGAACACATTCAAACACCATGGAAAGCCGCCCTCAGGCGGGGGAGCTTCCTTGAAGAAGCGCGAACTATCCTGCGTCCATGATACTAGTAGTAGCTTAAGTAAGGTACTAGCTACCTAGCTTCAAATAGCTACCTGGACCTAGCTACTACCTCCCTCTTCTACCACCCTACCCCCGCCCCCTAAAGGAAAAAAGCATGTTTATCACATTTTATCACCAATTAATATCTTCGAACCCTATTATCCAGCTCCTCTCTTAAGCCGCTTCCCAGGAGTCGGCAGGTGGCTCGCTGTGCAGATCTCGCCTCACAGCACACCACCGAGGATGGGTCCCACGGTGGTCGCTGGTTGCGGCGCTGTTGGAACCATGTTGCGTCGCTGGGAAGGGCAGAAGCAAGTTGACTGCAAGGTTTTGACAGAAAACGATCAGAAGTGAGTGGCAGGGGCTGTGTGCAGCTTGAGTTGTTGGACTATTTCGGAATCCATGCCGTTTGGCTCCGACATTGCACCAGAAAGAACTTCATTTTGGAACTTGACATATCGTTTGATGTGTATTATATATATGTCCATTGTCGGATGCTTTTCATATATGGTTGTTTTGAGGTGAATCAACTCCGATGAAGGGCAGCGATATTGGATGAATTTTGGAGTGTCGTCTTGAACATAATCAGCTCTCTTTTTAGACTGAAGATGCCATTGTTCCTTCGGATGGGTGTGACCGATGTGACTGGATGGGTTGAACTTGGAGTCAACATCAGGGACGTCGCAACAACCAAGTCTTCAGGACGATTTGGTCCTCCTGGTTGGGGACTTTGGCGCTGTGCAAAGACCTTAGATGCTCAGCTTTCACGAGAGCTTCACCATGGCTGGAGTGATTTGTAAGAGGAGATACGGGAGAGTTTGGCCCCTGAACATATACACAGTGTGCCTGAAAAAATGATAATTATATATATTAATCTGCATTAGTATATTGCATTATATTACTTGCATTGTCTAAATGAATCCGATCATGTGGGCACGGGTGCGCGCTTCACTTTGCCTAAGTGCCCAACAAAAAACATTTTGTTCTAGATTATTGCGCACAACTGTCCATTGAATTGAAGGAACGCCAGTACATTCCGTGTATTTCCATGTCAAAGGAGTAATTAGTGAACATGGAAACACATGCAAGAAAAATCAATTCGTCCCATTGTATTTTAACGCAAGTTCATCCAAGTTCCAAATGTTTCTTTCGTCACAAGTTTCAAATCACAGCAGAAGCAGCAACTTGCAGGTCTGGTCCATTTGGCCTGGATGTTCCTCAAGCTGCAAAGGCAACAGTGTCCAGGAAAAAAACTGCCCTTGTTGTTCGCAGACCATCACCATCCCGAACAGAAGCAGAAATCCTCCTCCTCTCTTGGAGTTTGTGCTGTTCTTTTTGTGCGGCTGTTCGTCGCCAGCGCGATGGTGTTGGACAGGCACCCCTGAACACCTTGGAGGATCTTGGTTGGTCTTTGGCATACGACGAGAGCGTGGTGCCTGCCAGCTGTCGAGAACTCAGATGGTGCTCTGTGGAGAGTCGAGACTTAAGCAGGCGGGATGCTTTGTCGTTTCTGCCTCGCAGAGAAGTGCATTGGGTCATGTGGTTTGGTCGAAGGGTCGGAAATCTTTGTGGGAACTCTCTGGTTCATGCGCGGTTGTGGTCTGGATCATGGGAGTCTCGGGGCGAGACCTTGGTGAACAAGAAAGAGATCCAGGTCCAGACATTCTGGTGTTCCAGTCTTGAAAGGATTCTGAATCTTGGACAGAAAGATTGATCACCTTTAAAGCAACGAGAACTTAATGGGAATCAGTGATTTGGTCCTCTTGGTGGATGAAGGTCCACTTACACTCTGATCAGCACTTACATTGTCGAGGCCTCTTCGGCTTCTTGTCGGACTTCATGGCCACCAACCGCAAGGACCGATGTAGAAGGGAGTTGGGAGTTCGGTGTATCCCGATGTGCTGTGAATCCGGCACATTGGGTGCATTTTTGTTTCAGCTCCAGCCCTGTACTTTTCCCCATGAAAAAGTTCACAACTCTTTGCGCTCTAACTCTCTCAAAAGCCAACAGACACCGGCCAGAACGAACACTTAATGAAGGGCACTGAAAGAGCTTCTTAAGGTCATGACTCTGAACAACAGTGAAGAACTATGAACAAGGCATTTCTCCGGCCAGACGTTGAAGACCGGACCGATATATATTCACTCGTGCCAGGTCATGTTTTTTTTGGTTTTAACGATTTTCTGGAAGACTTGGGTGTGTTCTCCGTGGCGATGTGGCGCTCTGTTGCGCTGTTGTTGCCAGGCTTTTGATATGTTGCGCTGGTTGTCACGTGGAGGTTCCAGAGAAACAATAGTTCTCAGCAGCCTGTACCTGTAGAGTGTGCCACAGGTGTTCTGGTTTCTATTTGGAGTCCTTTTGCTAGTGTTCCATGGTGTTTCCCGGGGTGTTCCCAAAATATCCCAGAATGTCAGTGTTGCAAGCAGACTGGGCCACTGTTCACACAAGCAAAATTACATGTGCATACCTTGCTGAAAAGAGTGTCCCCTATTTAATCGCAACATTTTAGAGTTGCCTGTAACATCCTGAAACGGAAAACACAACTGACAGCAGTTGAAACCGGTTGTATCCGTTTGTACGTATCCCATGCCAAAGGTGTTCTGACATCGTATGGTGCATAAGACTTCCAAGCAAACATTTCAAGAGCTTTGTCGCAACTTTAAGATCAACAACCAAGTACTGTAGATGATTTCACACCTTTTGGCATATCAAACAAGTAAACAATCCTTGCGTTGGCGTTGTTTCGAGCTGCGACCATCCCATCCACCGCTGCAGGTCTTACCCCTTTCAGTGGAAGCCATGGCCACGGCCAACGTGATTGGTGAGGTGGACGGAAAGCTCTCGGCCTGAGGACAAAATGCCCCAAAACTTGCTGGTGTACGGCCAACTTACTATTACTGGCAATTCATTTTGGCATCGGCTGGAATCCCGTTTGCGCAACAGACACTCGTTGGGCAGACCATGGAGAGAGAGGACATGGCAGCCAATCCTTGCGTCACGTGCTTCTGCGACCTGGCGGTCCACAATCAATTTCCTGCTTTGCCACGACGGAACCTGTCTTTGAGGGGTTCACAGATGTTGTTCAATGCCGAAGAGGGGGGAACCCGTCTTTGCAAAATGCTCACTTTGGTTTGGAGCAGCAAAAATGTCTTCAACTTTTGTTTTGTATATGAACATAGCACCTATATATACACCAGTAATTACTTGTAGTGTAGTGTATTCACTTCCCTAAACTTCAGCCCACCCCAAAGAGTGACATTGCCAACAGCGCCCAAAAAAACACACCGCCATGCGGAACGGCGACCGGATGGGCTGCCGGCCGACAGGCTGCCATAGATGTGCCACTTTCGGATCATCAGGCCATCAAGGCCGCGCTTCTTCTTTCACCGGTGAACGCACCACGCTGGCCATATTTTGGAAAACAACACGTGAGAGGTGGTCAGGAACTCTGATTGCTAAAGAACAAGGGATATGGGATGATGTGGGATAATAGCGGCAGATGTAGAGTGTATAGTCAACTGCTGGGCTGCTCTCCATCCTTGGGAGATTTCGGGCTGCCGAAGGTCATGCAAGAAACAGACCTCACATATCCTGGTCACGCGATATTGATGCCCACGTGAGCTGAGCTGTCAATTTGAAAAATTCCTTGGTGGGAATCCTACTAGCTCAAACCATCAGTGAACCTTAGAGGTATCCAGGAGTTTTCAACGGCTTTCACTATGCTTTCCCAAGTGATCACTCGCAGCGATTCTTTTTCAGGCCGTGTTCTCCATGCAGCCTTTATTGCTTGCCGGCCCAGTCAGCAACCGCGCGCGCAAAAGGGCAAACCTTTGAAACCCGACACCCACAAGAGGTATGGGTGTCCAACTTTGCCCTTGTTGTCCAACATGGAAACATTTATATATAGTTGTACCGGTATTTGGGAGAACCTCAAGAGTTGAGAAGCAGAGGTGGTGCTCGATCAGAATCAACCGCGTTTGACTTTTGGCTTCAAGTGTCCTGCTGGATAGGGGTAATACGTTTGGTACAGTTTTGCAAAAGCCAGAGAACAGACATTGAGGTGGACGCCATTGGAGATGTCCGGTGCTAGGATGCTCACTAGAGGTGTGTATGTGTGTGGTTGTGAAAAAGTCAGTGTGTTTACCAGATCAAGCACTAGTATATCCACGCATCTAAATATGTGTGTATTGAAATAGGGAGACCCCCGAAAAGACACCCTGAAAGAAGGAAACTAGATCAAAACCAACAACCAATTTGTTGGGGGTATCTATTTCAATACAAACCCATATTACCCAGAATAACTATATAGTTTCTATTTATAACTCTATTAATTATAGTAAATTTGTAAATATAGACCACCTGCTTAAGTTGATCTATCTACCCGTCCCCCCGGCCGAAGTCAGCTTTCAGGTCCACAGCTCCCTCCGAGGCCTCGCAGGCCGCACAATTCCTGCAGCCATCGCGGTAAACGGTCACAGCGTCCCCGAACTTGATGGGTTCTTGTTTCCTTTTGGCATTGGAGGCCTTTGCTCTTTAGGTTGGAGGCCATCGCTATTAGTGCAGAAACATCACATATTTTGGAGGCTGGAAATGGACCAATTGAATTTCAATTATTGAGATCAGCACTGGTGTGCTCTTCTGGCCACAAGGGTGCGATCCCATCACTAGGGGATGAGTATATACAGTATACAAGTCATTGGAAGGTGCTGGAAGCAGGGCCTGGCCCAAGTGTTCTGCCCAATGGATTGAATTAAATAGAGCGCCATGTTTCAGGCCAAGCCATTACAGCGGAAGGGATTCTTCGGCAGGTTGCTTGAACAGAGGGCAACCAACAATCAAGGCACGGCGATTCCAAAATGGGGTAGGCCCACTGATCAAGACTCAAGAACTACTGCTCTACAATAGAAGACCAGGTTCCCCCACATCACAGCGGAGGGTGAGGGTTCGCCAGGACATTCCGGTGCTCGGCTTTGGCAGTGGGGACGCCAAGGTGCAATGGCTTGTCGAGGCCCCCATGACCATTCCGATCACTGGTTCCGTAGAACAAGTATCACACAGAAATGCATGGGGAGAAGCTTAGATATCTCCCCACTCCATCCCACTCCCACGGTCTAAAGACAGTTACAAGGATGTTCTTGGACAAGGGATTACACCTTCTGCTATCATTGTTGTAGTTGGAAAATAAGGGTTGTGCGTAGTTTGAAGGCTTTCTTTTTAACCATTGAGTTTTGGTGGATTGGTCTTACCTTTCTTGGGCTTGCTACTTTCAACTTGCTGCGTTTGCTGCCTGGGCCAGATTCCAGCTTCTCTTGAAATTGCCCAAATCTCCCTTCACTGCGGATCACAGCGTCCAGCCATCCAAATGGCTCAACTCAGTACATGGAAGCGTCTGGATCGAGTTGGAGTTTCATAGGATTGGATTGTTATGTTTAATACTCTTTTCTTCTTCATGTGTCATATAAACCAAGTCAGTGAATCAAAAGGGATGATCACGAACTTTTGATTGCCTTTTTACCCCAACGGGTGCCTAGGAATTGCACCTTCAGCTACGCCAGTTGTTGACACAGGCATATCTTGGTGTTTTAGACAATTTTTCTGCCCAAGTCGTTGATCCACGTCCGTGCTGTGCTTGGGCGTGGATTTGAGGTCATTTTTTGCCAGAAGATTTGCAGGAGCGCCTCTCGGATGAGGAATACTACCAGCGGGTGGATGAGCTGACGCGAGAGGCTTTAGAGGCGTGGAATGCGGATGCTGAACATTTCGACTTGATTAGGCAGATGCACCCCTTTTTCGGTGTGTTTGTTCCAAATTTTGGAGGCGGATGGCGGAGGTTAGTTGTTTACGCGACTTGATGGGGTTTGAACTTGAACTTGAACATGTTTTGTTGATTTTTTCCGTTGATCCATAACCACGAAGGTGAAAAACTGGGAGTCCCTATTGGACGAACTTGTTGCAAAGGAGCTGGGCCGGGCTTGCGAAGAATCACTCAGTATGACAGCTTGCGCATATAGCAGGACCTCAGAAGAACATACCCAGCAATGTAAAGCAATGTTCCTTTTCTTATTCAGATCAAGTGGGTACCTTCCTTCAACTTGTATACATTATTACATTGTGATAAATTGTGTATATTTGATATATGTAGGCATGTAGGAATTGACTGCTCGCATAAACCTGTCTAATTCAGTAAGAGCTTGGATTGAGGGGACGCTACTCAACGAAAGCTGTACAGCAGTACGTGTAGTAAACGGGCAGTCCGAGTCCAAGAGGTCGATAGATGCTGTGTTGACATGTTTGAACCCCCAGAAGTTTCATCGGGAAAAGCGCTTCTCTGATTTTTGATCGGCATGAAAAGCGCTTTGCTGCATGAATCCAAACTGTCGAGGCAGCATTTTCCTGTGGAGTGAGGCTACTGGACAGTGGCAACCGTGCAGACCGGCACGTTTAGTGGACAAATTGGGTGACCACAAATCAGTGCACAAAGCAGCATGCTTAGCATGAAGACGGAAGCAAACATCCACTGAGTCTATCAAACAGCTGATGGAAACACTACTGATCCTGCCATGGACAGGCTGAGTAGCTGAGGTGACCATAAGCGCATCATGTTTGCTCGCAAGACCAACCTCTTGGAATGCTGAAGCAATGCTGGAAGGGCACCCATGCTGAAAGCATTCAAGAACTGTCTCAAACATTCTCACAAACTTTGGATCGAAATCTATCGACTTTATCAATATAGAACGTCAACACTTCACCAATTGCTGTACTTGTTGCAAGGCCTTGGGGTGGGGTATCGCCAAGCTATATACTAGGTCGAAGTCCTAGGTCTATCATGGGGTATCTAGGGTGTACTATTTGGAACCCATCTCCATTGCCACTACAGAAAAATGGTCAAATAATCGTTAAGCGGACCTTGTCACATGAAGGACCTTATCCGCCTCAAGTACCATAAACCATTCCGACTGCCTTTTGAGTTTCAAAGCCTGAAGGAGAAGGCAGCAGGCAAGGCGAACCTTATCCACTGTGCACATACCGTGCACACCAGGCCACATGAACCAACAAAGCCTTGGACGAGCACTTGAGACAGCCCGGCTCCCAGGAGAAAGAGAATGAGACATTTCAAGATCAGAAGGAAAATCTTGGGAGGGAGAGCTCGAACAGCTACAGCTTTCTTAATTGTTGATCAAGGTTTCTCTGAAGTTTATCTCCCTTTCTTTGTTGTTCAGGTCGGCCCGAGCGAACACCTCAGGCCATAAGCAAAGGTGTGCTGAAGCGCAGCGAAGTCTTCCTGTGTGGCCGCATCTACAAGTGCAAGGACCCCGCGGAACGGCCGCGAACTCGTTCTCAGAGAGTCCAACAACAAACAGCCAATGTTCAGTTTATTTCTTTTTTTTTGTGAGGACTGTTGATATGCCCATTCATGCAGCTATCAGCATTTATTGGCTATTATTCATTGTTGATATGACGAGTCATGTAGCTGTTCATTTGTTTCGGACTCTCTCTCTCTCTCTCTCTTGTTGTTGATGACTTGCTTGTCCCCGCTCCCCCAGCAGCTCTTTTTGAGTGTTGTTGTCTTGTGAAATGCGTGGTTGTGACAGGAAAGCAGAAAAGTTGTCATGAGTCAGGTGGTGAATTTCTTTCCAATGGAACTTAGGCAACACTCTGAGATCTGAAAGATTTCTCACCGCATCCCTTTTAGACCAGGAAGGTTGAGAACCTACCACCCTTGAAGCCACGAACATGAAAGCCCTGAGCCCTGCCTTCAGCGCCGTGCTGTGCAGGATCGTGAGCAAATCCGTGGGGAAGTCGACATGCTATTGAGCGCCTTGGACAGGATGAATCGACAGATGCGACATTTCTAGAAGACATCAAACTCACAGCTGCACAACCTGTATTTCTTGAGGTTCAATATGGTTCAATGAATCCTCAGGAGTCCAATGAGTTGAATTAGTTCGTGGCACTGGAGGTCCAGCAGTGCAGCATGACAGCATGCGGAGGATTGTGCAATATATCTCTGGATCTTTCTCAAAGCGTTTCAGAGTCTGCACGTCATTGAGTGTTGCTGTGCAATGCTTTTCAGAGGTCTGTGGATGTGTTCTCACAGCTGGTCGACGCAGTGTTTGCTGGTTGAACAGATGCAGTGAGGTGAACTGAAAGTGGACTATGTCGACGTCTTGGTCGCAGATTGTCCACCAGAGTCCGGATTCCCTGCGTTTTGTCTATCCAAGGTAGTGCAGAATACACTAGCATAGACGGTAGATTCAACAATGACTGCGCACGATAAACATCATTAATTTAAGACTCACTGTTGTAGTGACAAATTTCATGGAATCACTGCCCTTTGAGAGCCGGTATGTGTTTGAAGATGTTGATAGGTTGAACAAGTGTGGAGTTTCGGAGTTACTACACTGAAATCAGGGGTCTTTGATGGTCTCTGTGTGACTATTTTTGTTAGAATATTATGGTCTTCTGATGTTCCGGTTTGTGATTTGTTGGCTGGAGATGCAATTCTTTTTGGCTTCTTAAAGGTTCACCTAGTTTCCATATTGTGACTACATCAAAGACGAAGGGCACCTCCAAGTGACCCACCTGGCGTTGGTGAGTGACCCAACATCTTGACCAGCTGGTTGTCCGATGGGAAGAGCGTGAGGCAAGTGCCCTCCGCTTGGCCTTTCTTCGAAGAGGCCGAATGGGGAGGGCGGCTCGATCCGGACCAGGGATTTGTCGGGATCTGTTGAGGAGCGATCCGTTTGTCCAAAAGATGCCGCTGTCGGTCTGTCGGTTCGGTTCGTGGCGGTTTTTCAAGGGCTATTCTTTTAGGGGAATTTTGCGTTGTGTTTAGGTATTTTTTTTGTTGGATTTGCTTTTATTGCTTTTCATTGCTTCTCTATGATTTCTCCTGCTCTTTTTGCTTTTGTTGTCTTTTGTGCTTGTATTGCTTTTCCTTTGCTATTATTGCTTCCCTGCGATGTCTCCTGCTTTCTTGCTTTTCCTCCTCTTTTAATGCTCGTCTTGCTCTTCCTAGCTTTTCTCCTGCTTTTCTTCACTTTCCTGCTTCTTGTCCTCTTGTGACATATTGTTTCTTCGTGTTCATTGCTTTTGCTTTCTAGGGAGGGCCTTTGTTGCCATCGCTTGGTTTGTTGCTTTTCAAGCCTTGATTTCCGGCTTTCTACATTTTTGTTCTACTTTTGATGTGTGTTTTCTGTTCTCCTGGTTGTAGTGTTTTGTTTCAACTAAGGGACAACCAAAGTGCATCATATTAACAAATGCATTCATTCTTTACTTTACTCCCTTCTCGACTATGATGCACTTTTTTCATGTTTGTTTGCCCTGCGGTCGGACTCGTTGTTTTTGTTTCTGCCTCGTGGTCCAGTTGTTTTGCATTTGTTGCACGCAAGCCCTATATAGATGCCCTCAAAAAGTCACGGTCATGGAACTGGCCTCCTGGACAGTTATTTATTCTACAAACAGCTAGCCTTTCACTTCCACTGGAGGAACCACTATAGAGAAACCACGTCCGCAAAACACAAACCCCAAACGCAACGCCAAAAATTCCCCAAACAAAACCGCACCCTCGCTTTTGGTGGTTCGTAACACTCAATCCAGTGCATTTGCCTAAGCCGGCTGTGGCTCTGTGCAGAAAAGATTGGCATTGCGGAGTCTAGGTGGCTCCATTTGGAAATTGGGCTAAAGCCCTTCGCAAGCGATAGCAAGCCAGCGGCCTCTTTTCGAGCGGCCTCTAGTGGTGTCTAGATTGGTGGCGCCGTCGTGATAGAAACACCACTATGCCAAAAGGTATCACAAGGAGTTTGCCAGCGCAACCCGCTCTGCTGATCTAGACTTTCATTGAGGCCACGGACCGGATTGCACAAACTCTGGGAGACGACTCCTCCCTCGTCACTCCCAGAAAGCAAGCAGAAGAACCGCAGAGATTGCTGAGGCCTACAGGCGGCGGGGAGCATGCCATGAGCAAGCTGCTGTCTTCAAAATCCAAAAAGCATGGCCGGAATGGCTGTTCCTCAAACACTTGGATATGACCGAGGACATCAAAGCCCCATTAGGGCGATATGTATTTTCTGTAAACCATCCCTTTCTGGTGATTTCTTTCTGGGTCCCTTAAGCAAATCCGAGATTGGAATGATCATTGACTATGACACCATCGCTCCCGAGCAGATACTCGGTTCCTGGCGCATCGCCAGCCAGACATCCCAAGTTCTTACTGCAGCAGCGGTGCTGCACAGATTCAAGAAGACCTCCTTGGCCAAGATCAACCCCTCCGGACGTTTTGGATAGTGCGCCCTGAGCGCTGGTTGCCCTGCTGGCCCTGCCAGAGCAAAACTAAGCCGTGGTTTTGGAATGGACGCTCCACATTTCAGCAAACAACCAAGGGCAAGTGGCAAACTATTGCAAACTAAACAAAGTGGACCGTTTGTTGGACCATTTGGAAGATTTTTACCCACTCTCCATACTCTCAGACTGATGGTGTTTGATCAGTAGCTGTGCTTGCCCTTGTGGATATGCCCACGGTAGTGCCAACACGAGAGGCTTTGGATCAGCAAAGTTGTGCGCAAAAGAAAGTGCCGGCGAAACTGGAAAGCCATTTCTCATGCCCAAAGGCTACGCAAAATACATCAATGAGACACATATAATAAGGCTGGGTGGCTTTGGGGGTGGCATAAACAGAGAAATAGGTGGGCAAGTCAAAGACATCACACACATATGTATATATACACTGTTATATATATATATTATATCCAACTCCAAAGTCGAAGTGTTTCAAGAAACTGATCGGACCTGGTCGCATCTACGTCGCCCCCCCCCCCCAAAAAAAAGAACATAACATAAGAAAAAAGACAGATAAAACACACCGTAAGGGTCCTTACGGATAAATACCTGAGAGAAACGCGCGAACTGAGACGGCCAGGTGATCCGGGACGGCCGTGCCCGGTGCTTGGGGGTCGCCAACTTTGACCTCTTGGGGCCCAAGGCGCATCGAACAGATTCGAACGCGTAAGACATCGAACGGATTCGTACGGAGGTCCAAATCTTGCAAGGTTGAACTGGTTTTGAAAAGGAAGACCTTTTTCATACAGTTACAATGAATCATCATGAATCTGTAAGTCAGTCCATTCTGGGGTTACTGTATGCTGCTTGTGCTACTGTGTTGACTTTGCTACCGTTTTGATTGAGGTGCTCTATGATGATCTAGGGCTTCATGTAGACATTTTGCCGCTAAAGGGTAACCATCAAGTTTTGGGTTGCACGTTGACGACTATCCAACTATCCAGGCAGTGACCCACCGACAACAGCTTGCATACCAGCATGACGTGCTGAAATGTACCGATCAAATATCTTCATGTGGGATGTACATGGATGATGCCGGCTGGACCTCCCAAAATGAGAAGTTTGGAGTTTGGCATGTATGCTTTCAGTCACCAGAAGATCTTGCATATACCTCAGCCACGAGGACTTTGGACGAACTGAACATTTAGCAGTTAAAGGAGTTGGGAGGCTCAATGACAAACAGGAGAATGATTGGTGTCATTTTGCGATCACTCTATTGTTGCAAGGCAGATCTAGAGGAATCAACAGTTCAGTTTCGGGTGTTTTGACATCAACTATCTAGAGGACCTGGTGAATTCACTCTACTTGACTTGAAAAGTTTCACAACCGATTCTTCTCAACCTCATGCTCCTTGGCACATCTTGGCACCGCAGGTTTGCACGGAGGTCTTCCGCAGCTTCCTCTCGCGGGTGAAGGTCCCCCCGGCGGTGATGGCCTTGGAGGTGCGATCCGGCGGATGGTGGCGGTGATGGCGGTCCACTTTTTTAAGTAACAAGGGCATTGGTACTATAGTAGCAAGAAGCTACTAGTAGCTAAGTGCATTACTAGTAACCAGGATGCTACTAAGTAACACGTGCATCGCTACTAAATAGTAGCTTCTTGCTAGTATAGTAGCAATGCCCTTGTTACTTTTCGGGTGAAAGATGGTGATTGAATCCATTCCCACCTGCAGGTTTTTCGACCACGTCGAACCAACTGGGTTGTGGAGGAAAAATTCAAAAAAAAACATGAAAAAACTAGGGGGGCGTTCTTCTCAGAGTCCGTGGGATGGTTTGCGGGGTATTTTCCCGAACCGGGAGAATCCGTCGCTAGCGGGCAAAGACCGTTTTGCTGAACAATGGCATCCCCAAAATCTATAGTGGAATGTGGTTTCCTTGGGACCGCATGACTTGGTCGAGCATTTCCATGATCAGTGACTGCTTGGCGTTGGATGTTCCCTACCAATTTCAAGGCTGCCAAAGGCCGAAGGCCAGGCTTCTGTGCATTTCAAGGCGGACAAACGGACGAAGGGCCTGGTGCTTCTCCCTGCGCTTTTCGAGCGGACAGAAGGCTAAAGCTGCCTGGCAGGTGCATCCTCTGAACAGCAACATTGAGATGTGCGACCTTTGCGAGACCTTGGGTATCCAGGCGAGAAAAAGAAACTCTGCCAGGTGAGGAAAAGGTGTCCCGGTAAATTTGGGGCCTGATATTTGTAATTTGTGGAGATGGTTTTGGGTGTTGCTAACAGGTTGAAGGCTTCAACATCAATTGCATTTCTTCATATTCCTTCATATTTCTATGAGTTTGGGCGTAGGGTGTTTGCATATGTTCAACGTTGGCTCCCAAGTGCTTTCAATGAAACTCTGACAAGTTGTTTCTGCCAAGACCAACAGAACGCGGGAGGGACTATAATTAACTAGAAAATGAGATAGGAATGAATGGTTGGGTTGGTGTGGACCTCGAAGCAGATATGTCTACCCGTGGCAGCAGGATTGCATGATCATGATGACGACGACAATTCAATTTGATGATGACATATTTTTTTTTGAGCAATCATGAACGTCGCCAAGTATTTAATTCAGCTCTACACCATCATCCTAGTTTTAGGATATCCAAGCGATCTCATGTGGCATTCATGTGTCCACTCCCTTTTCGTCTTCCGTGTTCAACGGATTTGGATCTTCAAAATGATGTCCTGGCCTCCCGTGGTCCAGGTGCTGGCATATGCACCCTTGGGATCACCTGCAAAGATGGAAAGCTTCATGAAGGCACGGCTGCAAAGATTCATTGCATCGGAACAGCCCATGCTAAGACGCTAAGAAAAAATAGCTGATTGATTTGTAGGAACGAACTTTAGAAAGTACAGGTTATTGGAAGAACCTTTAGGAGGATAACCAAAACCAAAAGAGTATCGAGCAGGTCAATGCATGATATGGCTGTGGGTCCAGGTGAACATTCCAAGATGAACAGACACTTCCTGAACGTGTTCACTGACCATGCATTTGGAGGGCTTGTTTTTACCCTTGCCTAAGACCAGGCTGTGCTCATTTCGTTCCGGTCACAGCTGCTCCGCCAGGTACTCACCAAGTCCGATGCTAGGGAGATGCGACGTTTGCTGAAGGCTGTGAGACGGGGAGGTTTGCCATGCAGCAGGGATCAGCAGGGGCTAAGGGATCAGAAATACCCTGGGAAAACACTCGGCAAGGTCGACCGATGGTCTTCCCATGTTTAGCTTCCGTGCCATGTGGGGCTTCCGAGTGCAAGGGGTCCAATCTGCCGAGCTAAGCTTGGGGTCTTTACCCACTTGGTGGCGATGGGGTGTTTCTTTTTTCAACCACTGCCACTCGTAACAGATCCACCGGGGGGATCGGGGGGGGTAGCGCCCACCGCACTGACCGAGCTCAAGCTGGGAGCCGAGCTCGAGGTGCCCGAGCTGCCACAGTTGGAGCAGATCGCCCAGCGACATGGGACGAGCACTGCGCAGGTGGGGAAATCGAGATCGATGGATTGACCTTCCAGCAGAATTTTCTCACAGCAAAGCAGAAGAGGCCCTATACTGTAAAGGGTACGGGGAGGTCAGGCCTGTGCCCACAGAAAGAGAAGAATAGTAAACAAATTGTAAACAAGTTGAAACAAGCAGTATCTCTGACAAGACTGAGATTTGGATCTTGCGAAAGCTGCCACAAGAGCGACTTCTTGAGATTCGTGAAGAAGACGAGATCTTGGATCTCTCTATATATAGTATAATATATATATATATGACCCCGATCAGTTGGTTTCGAGGAAAGTCGACCCCCCTCAGCTTGGTGTTGATATGTGTTCATAAATCACCCGCACAGATGCAGAAATTCAATTTTGCCATGAAGTTTCACAGCTCAAAAGACACAGCTCCCTGAAGTTTCCGGAACTCCAGGTAGCTCTTCGCTGGAATCTTCAGCGAGGACACATCGTCATCCCCAAGAGTCAGGGCCCTGAGGAATCACTGCACCCGAAGATGTATTCCATTGCATTCCATTAAGGATGACATAATTGCACTCACCAACATTGATATCCAGTATTGTCAACCGTGCTGTGATCGAGAAACAGTTTGCATCATCAATGTGGTAGATGCATGCTTGGACTGCTGTCAAAGCTATAGGATGTTGGCATTGTGATAATTGTGCTGAGCATCGTCGTTGCCTGACACCTACAGGAATCGGTGTGACTGAGGCTGGAATCCCAGCCACATTGAAGAGAACACTGATGTCTTTGACTTCAGCCTCTCCAACGAGGACTCTGTTTTAACAGACAGGGGTTTATGGAGTCCAGTGGTGTTCAGCCAGTTGCGGTGAATGAATATTTCTGGGAATCTTTTGGTGGATTAAGGTGCTGGACCATAAGGTTTGGTCTTGAGCTGTTGAGGATCACACTTTGGAAGCTGGGTTTGGCCTCAAGCGGTCAGTGCAATCCGCTTGTCCTGATCGCGCACTTGGCGACTCCCTACGACATCCGCCTGGCGGAACTTCATCCTGTTTGCGGGGCTGAAGCCTAGCAACAGTTTCTGCAGGAGATGGCAAAGATCACAAAGCTCCACAAAGGGGCCCGGCACACAGAAGAATCACAGTCGATCAAGCGATTGGGACTGAGAGATACAGTATATATAATTATCAGGTAACAAGTCAAGCAATATAATATGTATGTTGTGTAATCTGTCTTCGTATCACACCCATAGGTTTTGGAGGTTGCCCAGATCTATGCAAACCACATTTCCACCTCTTTCACACCTCTAGCTACCGCCGAGCTAGCTACCGAGTGAGTGTTGTCAAAAGACGGAACTCAGGAACTGAGGGCGTTCTGTAGCTTCAAGTGACCCGGGTGTGGTTGCATGTGATTGCATTTTTCAATAACAGCAAGGTGCGCAGCGAGCGCTTCTTCCAGGCGTCCTTCACTGCCTCCAAGGCGCTGCAAGATGTGAACCAGAACCAGGGTTACCGGTTGTGGAGAAAAAGCGGCTGAGGCTAGAAGATCATATACGGCAAAGAGTGAAACTGTAAAGTGGTTGAATCTCGAGCACCTGGGTTGGATATGACCTGCTTGACAGCCCAGACAGATTGCAAGTGGCAAATGAAAGTCAACCATAAAGCTGTTCCCAAACGGAGAGAAAGACTCTGAAACACCCAGGAATTTGAATACGTCCACTCATTTTGACAGCTTCCGATCACGGTTTCAATCAATATGATTCTCCCACTTGGATCAATGGATATCAATGATATCAACGACATCAAATCTGAATTTTCCACAATCTTCCGACTGGTGCTCAGTCGGGAATGGGGGAATGAGTCCCAGATCTGGGGTTCCGTATACTAAGCACTCAGATCTGCGTGTCAGTCTGTGGGACTCGAGGCCTTGCCGCGGATGACACGCGATGCCTTCGATGAGTGACGTGGGCGTCGATGCTGTGTTCCGACACCCGACTCGGGACCCCGACTCGGTACCCCTTCGGTACATCCGGAGAAGGTGTTTGTGGGTTTTGGAGGGAGTCCAAACACCTGAACAAGTACTTGGTAGACCTCCTGGGGTACCTTTGGCATGCTTTCACTATCTTGAACTGGGTGTACTATGTCGACCATGTGATGTTTGGATAATTTTGTTCATTGGAAGTGGTTCGCCGAACAAGTAGCTGAAGGGAAGATTTGTGGGTGTTTGTGTTCCTGAATCGACTTTGGGCTTCCAACGGCTTCCTTTAGCATTTTCGTGTGAACCCAGAATCCAACAGTAAGTCCATACATAATACATGTCCCATCTACGAGAAAGCTCAAACGAGTTTCGAGATCTGCGTGAGAAAATCCTCTGGGAAATCTCCATTGGGTTATGAGTCACTGGAAAGTTTGGAAGATCCATGGCAGAATCCCACAGCTCCCTTACTTTCCAACTCCCAAGGTGTCAGGAGATCTTGAAGAAAATCCGAGGCCTGAAAGGGTTAGTGGCTGTACACCGGTCTAGAAGATTACAGCAACAAGGTCTTTTTGTTCTTCGAATACACCGTGCTCGGGCTGAACTAGCGGGGTAACTTTTTAGGTTGTGTTCATGTGTTTTCATCACACTACCAGCGGTACCGACTGGTGAAGCATCCTTGCATGAATTGCAGCATATGACAACACGTCACTATACCAAGTGTATATAGTATATATATATATACATACAGTAGAGACTTATAGAGTCCTGTCATGTTTGGTCCCTGGGTCCTGGAATCCAAAGCCTGTTTGGGATCCACCTACGCCACCGCAGGTCCCACAACAGGCACCTTCGCCCGTCGCAGCCCTGAGTTCCACCGAGCTCGGCCGAAAGTCGAGAGCCTTTCAGTTCCGAGCCGTTTTGACAGAATGCGTTGAACAGAATGTCTTCCATTTAGCTTGGGTTTGCTGAGTTATATAGTTAAAGATGATCTTAGTCTTATTTGTTATTATAGTACTTCTTGTTGTATAGTTTCAGTATGCCTTGTGCAGCATCTCTGACAGTCGACCACAACAGACTTATAGAACCCATGATTTCGGAGCTGAGCTACTTGGATTGCTTTGCCTCGCATCACCGTTCCGCTGCGAGTTCCACTGTGAGGTCCTTCCCTTGATGGACCAGTTCCGCTGCCTGCGTCTCAAAGCTCTCTCCGCTTTCAGCCCGAGCGGCCCACGGCGGCCAGTGGAGTTCCAGCACCCCTTCGTTCGTTCTTTTGAGCCGCGAATCAGACGAAGAAGAATTCCACCCTTTTTGGAATCTTTTGGGATTGGTGGTCACTGGTCACATGACCGTGCTTTGCATGATGCGCATGAATGTGCGCCGGGAAAAACATGAAACACCTAAAAAAACACGTTGAGCATCGTTGAGCATCTTGCAATTCCACGTCATATAAACTTGACAGATGCTGTCTATCGTCAAACAAGCTCGGGTCTTCTGATGCTTCGGTATATATAGTCATCGACCCTGATCATGATCCGCTTGGTTGTCTCACTTTTTGCAGACACAACCCTGGCATTCCAAGTCACACTCTTGGTGAAAGGAAGCATCTAATTGTCACCTGGAACCTAGTCATTTGCATGAAACTGATGAAACTTGTTCGACCATTTGGCTCGTTCCAAGGCCAATGGAAGTGGCCCAGCGTGGAGGTCACGACGCCTCCGGCAAGGCACTGGCGCTGGCGAGTTTCGCCTCACACGTGCGTCGAGCGCCCGGCAGGTAGATTGGGAAAAGCTGGGATTTCATCGTCCGGTGGAGGCGCTTTGATGTTGTGGAGTGACCTTTTGGGCGGTGGCGGGAATTGCGGCACAGCGCACGAATTACGGTGCCGGCGACGGTCGGCATGGCACTGTGTGGGCCACAGGGTGGAGAAGGGGTCATTGGATGTCATTGGCCAGGACTGGTATAGGGCAATATTGGGCATTGGCACGTGGCCAGTGTTATCACCGGGATCTTTCGCAGAAGAGACATATTTATATGCTGTCAACAGGAATCAATTCTATAGGGTGTTAGGGTGTTTGGAGGTGGACAAGTTCTCCGAACCATGATGAACCATGGATTCCATGTTTTTATGCCTGATTTCTTGGCATCTCTGCATGTATGTGCATTGAATTGCATTTATAATCATATATATATATATATAAATGCGTATGTGTGCATGACTGACACGATTCTTTTGGACACAATCTCAGGTCCGACAGGAACTGTCAACCCCTCACCACAAGGCAAAGAGTTACCTCTCAGTTTACTTGGGTTCAGGGCATTGCAACAGGCTTGTTGACAGTGTCCAGTGCTTATGAACATGCTATAGTATGCTAGACGCTAGCGGAGCGTGAGAATAACTCCTTTGATTTGGACTTGATGTTATTATATATATGAAATGGTTTTGTTCGCGATGCAAATAGTATCAAGTAGTACACTGTTTGAAGAATGCTTTATCTCAAAGTTCCAGTCAACGCCCAGCAGTTCAAGTTGCCAGAGAAGACCGGATTTAGCTGGCTAAACCTTTGGTGATATCGTTTAAGCCTTGTGAGATCTCAGCAGCGCTGTGCTCCCAGGAAGAGCCTGGTTTTTGGCGACGGATGGGCTTGGCCACGGGCAAAGGAATTGACGGTGGCAAGGGAAAAGGCCGGATGTGGGAGTGTTTGGTGGTGATTGTTTTCTGAAGCTTCAATTGAGATGCGGACAGGGCGCAGGCTTTCGCAGGCTATGGTGTTGCATTTTTGGCGCTGAGGGTGACTGATATGTTTCTTTAGTAATGTAATGACACTTGGACACACTTTGTGTGTCAAGTGCAGGGAATTCGGCCATGCATGGGAATGCAACATTATTGGTTGAAGGATTTTTCATGGAGTGATTTCCTTTCATGAAGTAGCCGGGATCATAAGTGTCAAGCCGATGGATTCAGCCGGATTCCTGGAGCCACCATCTCGTGCCCTCGTGCCCTCGCAGGTCAACGTTTCCCGTGGCTGAAAGACGGCCTGCCGGTCGGTGGCAAGGGTGTACCACACCCCGCGATGGTCGGATACCGATAGGAATCCGCAGAGAAAAACAGCGCAGAGAAAACTGCGGTGGACGCTGGGACTTGTCAGTCAGCAATTGCACGGCAACTTGGTGACTCAAATGAATCAATCATTGATGAGAAGTTAGATACGTAGTCCGAACGTGTGCAGTTTTGGGGATGCGAATGCTTGGTCGTGTCAGACAGTAACTCGAGTGCAGCATGGGAGATGAGACTAGTGGCTAGGAAGTAGACCAGGCTGAGGTTGGTCTTCCAGGCTGGTCTTCCAAGGGGCTTGCAACAAAAACCCGACTTGTTATTCAATCAATGACTCTTTAAGTCGCTCGAACTTTTCCAGGCTGAGCTCTCAAGCAGCAGGCTGCAAGAAGAGGAGGTGCAACAAAATATCTTGAAATTGAAATACATCCTTGCCTGGATGAGCTCACTGGACTAGTGTTCAGCAGTTGTTGAAAATTACATGTACACCGATTCATGGACTGTCATTCTACTCATAAACATGCATAATCACTGAAGAACATATAAGAACATGTACCTGCATGCCCATGGATGGTTTTGGAATCAAAACCAGGGGTGAGTGGTGTTTTTTCTTTTTTTTGGCAAGGCCAAGAAACAGCTCCAGCGTGCGGAGGTGTTGAAGCTCAGATACTGTATAGACACTATTCAAAGAACAATGCTGAACTTTGATTTAACGGTCATAGTCTGTGCTTGCATTACAGAAGCATGCATGTCATTCATATTTGTCCCGTGATTTGGTTAGTCTTTGACCGACGCCTTTTGTGGTTTGTCTCTTACCCTTCGGTGTATCCGGCTTTTTAAGCAGCTTAGCACTATGTCAGTATGTCCTTTAGGCAGATCTGGCGCTCGATCTCAAACGGACCCGCAGAAAAGCCGAATTGCTAAGATCATGGGCGGTGGGTGCCATTGACTCACTGAAGCTGTCTTTGAGTTATAAAGCATGTAGTGGTTCAACTAGGCCGGTATATACTTGCTGATTCAACAGGGTGACAACTTCTACCTTGGCTTAAACTGCCAAGGGAAAGAACTCCATTGCATATGGAATTGCTGTATCGGTCAAAGACTATGAAAAGTAAGGCGATGTTATATAATGTTTCCATATTTTGCCGGTACAGTTCAAACCTATATAACAGTCTGCAGAAACAAGGCAGACCGTGTCCGCTTGGAGACATTGAAGCTTGGCTAGCATTAAGTGTTGGATCTTCGGTGTTGTTTGGCTTGCTGCCTGAAGCAGAAGAAGAATTCGCTTAGGCCGTAGATTCCGAACAATGCTTGATGGGAGTGGAGATGCACCGAATTTGCAGTGCTTTTGGGGCTGTTCAGTGTTCATATGTTTTCATGCATTTCTGAAATCAGAAAAGCACGTTCAACATTTGCCCTGTTGCCCACGAACGTGGAGGTTCTTTATCAAACTTCAGACTTGGATGCTCTGAGATGGAGAGTCAAAGCTGTTCGTCAACAGCTTCACACCTGATGGAATTCCGAAGACCCCGGACCCTGAAATGTCATTATATACTACTATAGGAACAAGAGCGCTACTAGGAGCAAAGGGCATCGCTACTAGGAGCAAGGACGCTACTAGGGGCTCCTGGCCTTACTACTAGATCTACTAGGAACAAGAACGCTACTAGGAACAAGAACGTTATCTAATATCCTTAAAATTCCTTAAATACTCCACACATCGAACGGAGCAACGCTGGCGGGCGGCGAGGATTGTCACGGTGGAGCAGCAGCGGCAGCCTCAGCCACCAGGAATTGGTTGCAGATCTGAGACACCATACAGAGACGAGTCGTTTGTGGACGTGGCCGTCCAATGGGGAATTTGTACGATTTGCAGACATTGTAGAATAAAATTATGCAAATGTTTGAAACGTAAACGTCGCTGGGGTTGTTAATTTGCCAGAGGCAGATCGGGTACGGTCGGTGACTGTCGAACATTTTGCGTGAGGGCTATCCGATCCCTGAATGATGCAAACAATATAGCCGCATGCTAACTAGTAACTAGTAGCATGCTGTAGGAAGAAATCTTTGTTCCCTTGGCTTTCCTGCTTCCCCAAGTATAGGTTCTGTGATTGTCGGACACACCACTTGACGTTCGGTACATGTCGAGCCAGGTGCAGTGATTTGCGTCTGGCGCCGAGATCTCACCAGCCTTCAATGGGGCATCCCTTCGCTCGATTCTCGATGTGCACAGCCGCACAGCCATGGGAACACTTTCGTCACAAAGTCCTTGCTTTACTCTAGTAGCCTATGGTGTGCAATAGTTCCGTGAACAAATTGCGAAGACTCACCATAAATAGCTCGTTTTGATAGCTAATGAAGCTATATGCTAGTATTCCACGTGTGCCGATCTTTCAGGAACACCAAGAGGGAACTCGCTCTTTTGCTGAAAAGAGAGGTTGCTATGTTCTTTGTCAATTCTTAGTCCAGGAGCAAGGACGCTACTAGGGGCTCCTGGCCGTACTACTAGGAACAAGAAGCTACTAGGGGCTCCTGGCATCGCTACTAGGAGCAAGAATGACAGGTGTAACACGAGGACGTTTATCGTGGTTCCCTGAAACCCGAAACCAGCGATCCTTCGGATCATTCTGTTTGGAGCGTAACGGCCTCAACAGGTCGAAGCTCCAGGAAGGTGTAGGTACTTGATGGTACTTGTACCTTTAGAAAAGGACGGGGTTTGGAAGGTCAGTGTACTCTGGATGGCCAAAGTTATAAGATGTTGTAAGCCTATCCGAGGGTTGAGGTGACGAATTCCTGCTTCGACAGAAGGGCCAGAGAAAGGTTCGCTGAATGCATTTGATGTTCTTGTAAAGATCCACAAACACCAACAGTACCTTAAGTGGGCCTTTTGACCGTTCCATCGGGCACTCGGAAGGTGATTTATCTCAGCAAGAACAGAGAACAGCTATGAGCCTCCAAGGAAGCCTGACGCTGTGAGCACGGTGAAACCTAGAGCATCGGATTCTCCGCGCCCCGTCAGTCGAACAGGCCAAGAGCTCCAGGTGGCCAAAAGCCGCGACTTGGGGTTCCATGACCAGGTCAAGGAGTTGGAGGCGACGGCGAAGGGCCCGACTTGGGCGCCTGTCACTGTCGCGGGCATGCTGAGCACCAGAGATAAATGTTCCGAACTCTGGGGTGTAGGAAGAGAGCGAATGAGTTCGGTGGCTTGAACGATGAGGGTTCGAAGCACAGCTAACCGCAGTCAACTTTGTAGGCACTGTAGCAAGTGGTCCTGTCAGACCGGGCCATGCGGATTCTCCCTTGACGAGAGACAGCTCCTATAATCCGTATGCAAGCAGAAGCCAGCAGTAATTGTTTGAGGATGCACGCTGAAGGTTAAGATAAGTGACTTCAGTTTAGTTTGAAGAAAGGGGTCGCCCAAACGACTCACCCAAGATCTCCTTTATTATTCTAGGAATTTGTGGGATATAATTTCAACAACGACCCTTTTCCATTCCCTATCAGCCCTACCGAATAGACTTGAGAGACCAAGCCCCACGAGGCCGAGCGGGATCGCTTGCGCAGCCGCTACGGGGAGTCCGAACGCATGTCGGGGGAACCCAACGAGATCGACACCGTCGGTCAGATCGACACCGAAAGAGCGAACATGGCGGCTGCGTCCAAGTCAGTAGCTTCTTGTTACTACTAGTAAGGCACCTGTTACTACTAGCGTGGCACCTGTTACTACTAGCTTCTTGTTACTAGTAGTAAGGCACTTGTTACTACTAGCGTGGCACCTGTTACTACTAGCTTCTTGTTACTAGTAGTAAGGCACTTGTTACTACTAGCGTGGCACCTGTTACTACTAG